GGACCAGGACCTCAAAACTGCTGCTGCATCTGGTCCCACGGAGTCAAGGCAATGGAAATATGCCTGTCCCCTGTCTGGGGGTGGAGGGGGCTGACCCCTTGGCTCCAGAGTGGCAGTGGGGCCCAAAGGGAACACCCTGGGAGTGTGGGCCAGTGAGAGGGACCAACAGTGACAGCCCCAGCCCCTTGGGGGTGGGGCCGACTTCCTCGGCTGCAGTGTATGTGCCATACTCCTTAAGGGGCTGTCACTACTGAGCGCCTACTGTATACCTGGCATGGTCAGCACTGGCACAGGTGGAGATGGGGGCTGGCCAGCTGGAAAGATACTTTGCCAGGTGCCACGCTCCCACCGTACCATGTTGGTGTGCCCCATGGCACTGCTGGCTTATCTAAACACTCCGTGGTGTCCAAGAAGCACAGTCCCGTGCCCTGTCTGTGGTTGTGCACATGTGAGTGTGTCTTGTGTGTGAGTGTGCAGTCGGAGTGTGCGTGTGGGTGTGTGCGCACTTAGGTGTACGTGAGCAGGTGCGCCTGCATCTGTGTGTGAGCTGTTTTGCACAGGGCGTAGCGGGCATGTGACACGTGCAGGCATCTGCATGAACGCACACATGAGTGTGCAGTGCCTGTGTGCACACGTGTGCACACATGTGCTCACACACATGTCCGCACACACGGATGTTCCGCGTGGATGGGTGCACATGTGCTCATGTCCACCCACTGCAGGTGCTGTTGTATGTGCGGGCTGGTTTATCTGCTTTGTGCCAAACCATGGTGGAGCAGGAAGGCCACGGCTTTCCCTCGGGCAACCCCAGAGAGTGTGTGTGTGGGGCCCCAGCTTGCAGGACTCCCTGAGCCTTCCAGCCAAGTCTGTCCCCTTTGGGCACAGCTGTGGGAGTCCTTGGGCCTCTTGGTTCTGTGCTGGGAAACTGGGGCTATGTGGGCTGACACTGCCAACTCTGACTGTGGTGCAATCTGCCAGCCATGCCCCTTCCGGAGTGGCTGGTTTCTCTGGGTGTGGGGAAGCTGCCCGCTGCAACCTACTCTGTTCGTCTTGGTGCCTCCAGAGGCAGGGACACACCTCCCAGCCCTGGGCCTCACTCACAGGAAGCAGCTGGGGACAGGCCCTGGGGGTGGTGCTGAGCTGGGTGCCCCGCCCTATGCCCAGAGCCCTCTGACCCTGCTGCACTACTAGGGCTCTCTCTCCGCAGCCCCGGGGACATCGCTGAGCCCCCGGGGACATCGCTGAGCCCCCGGGGCCCTGAGGCCACAGCCATGTTTGGCAGGAAGCGCAGCGTCTCCTTTGGGGGCTTCGGATGGTGGGTGACCATTGGCAGGACGGCTGAGGGACGGGAGTGAACCTACTGTGAGGTCTTGTGCTTGGTGGTGGTGGTTTGTGGGAACAGAGGTCTCCGGGTGTGCCTGAGACCCGGGTCTGGAAGGGGCACTTTCAGATGCCTGGGCCCGATGGAATGAGGGGCCAGAGGGGCTTCCGGCACAAAGCTTTTCCTCACTGTTCCTTGGGTGCCGTCTTCTGGGGGATGCAGGAGGTCGGAGCTGGAGCCAGTGTGAGTGTGGCGGCACTACCCGGTTGAAGGTGCCTGTGGGTCCGGTGTCCCCTGCGAGAAAGCGTGCTGTGGTGGCTGCGAAGTGTGTGCGTGCCCACAGGTGCCTGTCTGTGCCGCGTGTGCCCGGCTGGGTGGGCGTGCCTGTGTGTGTGACCACGTTTCTGAGCAGGTGATGGTCTGCATCGCTGCTCTCCTGTACCTGCGCGCTCCCCTGCGTGTGCAAGTATTATGCTCCCTTCTGTCATCTTGGTGACTTTAGGGCAGGCGGGACCTGTGGCCCCTGGGCATTTGGGCTACCTCCTGTCCGTGGGCTTGAGTGTCTGGACGGGGCAGGCCTGTCCCCAGAGGACTCCACCCCCGCCTCCTGGCAGCCAGGCCAAGCTCCACCTGAGCGTGAGCACTGGCCTGTGTGCCAGCCTCTTGCCTGGCTCTCTGGCCAATGTTCAGCAGTAAACTTCTGTCTGGGACAAAGGAGAGGCTCTCCTGGGGGACAGGAAGTGGGGCCCTCCCTGGTGGCACAACAGGTTAGGACTCAGCACTGCAAAGCTGGCTGTAGCCACTTCAGTGCGCCTTCAATCCCCGGCCCAGGAGCTGACCTGTATCGCATGGCAGACCCCTGGCCCTGACCCGCCCGCTGCTCCCCTCAGCACTGTACTTCATCAGTCGGCCTGTTCTGCTCCCCACTCTGTGTTTGGTGAATCCTCTCACCACCCCTGCACCTCTGGCCTGTACCCTAGTTCTGTATGTATAAATAAATAAATCTTAAAAAAAAAAAAAAAAGAAAGGAAGTGGAGAGCCTATGTCAGAGACTTGTCTCTGGTTACCAGCTGCCAGCAGCCTGTCCTCAGCTGGGAAACAGGGTCTAGTGGTTTGCATTATCGGTTTCCTTTCAGCTTCTGGGCCTGGGGCGTTGTCAAAGAAAAGGTTCCTGCTGCAGGGGAGGGTGGCCTGGTGTCCTGGGGTGGATAATGAGAGGCCCAGAGGGCTGCTCAGAGATGGGCTCCCCTTCTCCCCTCCTTGAAGGCACGCATCCCACTGCGTCCCACTCGCCCTGTGGCAGGAAGGGATGACGGTGCTCCTTGCTTAGTGGGTGGGGACAGTGAGGGTGGGACAATGCAGACGGCACCGAGGGAGTACCCCGCTGGGCCAAGGGGCTGCTGTCCTGCGGCTGGGGTCTGGGTTTGAATCACAGCATCTGCTTCCTGGTCAGGATGCAGTTGGAGGCTGGACCGGAGTTCCTGTAGGGCAGGGCTCAGGCAATGAGTGGGACCCCTAAGGCCCCGAATATCTGTGGTGGGGGAAACGGGGCACATCGCACATGCTCACAAGATGCCCATGGAATGGCTACGAGAGGAGCTTTGACCCCCACCCCCCAGACATTTGGTTGGGGGCCCGTTGAGTTTGAGGGGACGAAGGCACATCCCAGTGGGGTTGGAGGGCTGGCGTGGCAGGGAGAGTGCCGGCGTGGAGGTTGGTGTCACCCGGGGGTGGCTGTCAGATGAGAGCCGTCACAGTGGCTGGTGGGGGTGAGGAGTAAATTACATTCCTGGAGCCCCGGTCCGCCCCAGACAGTGAATGAGATCATGGGAGTGGTATTTTTAAGAGCTCCATTGGATGTCAGGGTGGACAGCCACTCGGCCAGGGCTAGGCAGGTGAGGGTGGCGGGACTGTTTGAGGAGGGACTAGACAAGGTGCCAGGGATAGACTGGGCTTCGGCTTCTTAAAGGGGAAGGCCCACGGTCACAGCTGCTGTCTTTAGCTTCAGCGCTGCTGAGGCCCCACCCTCCCAGGGTCACACCCCAGCATGGGAACCCTGTGGCCAGACCACTGGGCAGGTGTGCACATGAGTGCCTGTATGGGGGACACCGGGAGTCTGGACTCTAGTGCAGGCATCACTTTCACTCACGGAGGAGCTCAGACGGGACGCTTCCCCTCTCGGGGTCTCAGCTTACCCTTGTGTAGGTGGGCTCTCTGCCTTACTGACAATGCAGGGATGTTGAAGCATATAAAAGCATTTGCTTGAGAAAGTGTAAAATATAAGGGTTTATTGTCAGGGTTCACCCCAGGCTTGCTCTGTTACAAATATTATGGCAGGAAAAGGGGACCTGACTCTGGGGTCCCCTACCCCTTTCTGGTGGGTTGAGTGGGAGAGGAGGAGGGCTTGTATCCCAGAGGGCAGTGGAGCCCAGGGACACCTTTGGGGACTGGTGATGAAAGCCTAAGGGAGAAGGTGTGTGGGGAAGAAGCTGGGCAGGACCCCGGTTCAGAGTGCTGAGGTGTGGCTTGCTGTACTGTTGGGAACTGAGATCAGAAGGTGCTCGGAGCTTTCAGCGTGGAAGACCCCGTGTCCCAGCACAAGGGCTCGGTGCTGGCTGCGATCACTGGGGTAATCCTTGACCTTGCCGTGAGGCTCTGGACACAGCTTTGCTCTCCTTGCTGGCCCCCGTGATTGTGTGTGTGGAATGCAGTGGCAGAGGTGGCAGTGGCAGTGGCTGTTCAGGGGTGGCGGAAGGGACTTGGCAGGGTTTCAAGCATCCTGGAGGGAGTGGTGATTTTGGTGGCACTGATGGCGATGAGGACAAGAGGGTGGTGGTAAAAGTGATGGTGATGGTGCGCTGATGGTGACACTGGTGTTTGTGACCCTAAACAAGGGAAAGTGGAGTGGGGACCACACCTGCCTTCCCATCTCTGGAGAGAGAAAGGGGCCTCTTTGCAGCCATAAGGGCTGGCATATGCAGGGGGTAAAAATAGCAGCTTAGCAGCGCTGCCTCGTCTTCCAGCGAGGGTGGAGGGTGGTGCAGGCAGGGGTGGGGGAGCTGGCTGCTGGGACAGTCTGTCGCAAACGTGATCTCCCCTGCTCTAAGCTCCAGAGCCTGGCAGAGCCCACCTGCTGGCGTTCCCTGGATGCTGATGCCAGAGTCTGTTCTAGAAGTGGGGTCTGCCTCTTTGGATGAACTGGGAACTCCCAGAACAGGAGGGTCCCTGTTGCTGGGGGTGCGGGCATTTTCCAAAGCAGAAGTTCAGAAATATCGATGAGCTGACTGTCCAGCTGCCTATGAAGCTCGACTGCAGAGTCCTCTTGCAGAGGGGGGTGCTGGAGGGAGAGGCTGTGTACAAGGCGCCTCAGACCCCTGGCTCTGGAGTCAGATTCTTGGATTCAGACTAGCCGATGATTTTACCCATCTGAACCTCAGTGTTCTCATCTCTAAAATGGGGACAATAACATTTCCTATTTCACAGTGGTATGTGTGATTATACTGTGAGTCCTCCCAGAACTCACAGTTCTTCCTTCCGGGGCTGGAGAACTTCCTGTAGTAAGCTGACCCTGCAGGACCCTCCTGGTCTAGTGGTCTGCACTGGCCAGGGACTTCTCTGCATTTGACAGTGGGAGCTTTCCACCTGGCACTGACGGAAATCCCTGCTTTTCTTTTGGCAGGATCGACAAGACCATGCTGGCGAGCCTGAAGGTCAAGTAAGTAGCCACTTCCTGTTATGTAAAGGTCAGACGTGATGGCAGAGTGGAACTCTTCTGGGGCTGTTTAGCCTCAAGTTGCTAAGCGGGGCTGTTGTCCGTGGTCCAGGGGCTTCCTGATTACAGGATGTTGGACACGGCTCTTGATTCTGTAGTATCTGGGGGGAAGTCTGAGGTTGGTTTGGAAGTAGCAGATCTGAGTTGGTGGAGCTTGTATAGCATTGTGGCTTTTGGTCTGGAACTTAGGGGTGTAAGAAAGATAGTCTTATTTCCTAACACCTTTATTATTATGTGAAGCCCCAATTCTATTAGGTTGTCTTTCTGATATTCCTATTTACCTCCACCTGAACAATTGTGCCACATAATTCTGGGACCTCATAACACAGTCCTCTGTGTGTGTGTGTGTGTGTTTGTGTGTGTGTGGCGGGGGGAGAGGGTGTGCTTTAGTCATGGAGCCATTGGTTACTAGACATGTGTCATCCTGGTTGGCCTGGCCCTGGCACTTTCTGATACTTCCAAGCCAGATTCAGTGTCTAGAGACTGTCTGCCTCAGTTTACCACATGTCATGCACCTGTCAGGGGCAGTCTTAAGCAAGAATGTCTCTCTCTAGAATTCCCTACCACTCTTGTTTCTGGTCAAGCCATTTTGTCCTCATCCTGATCTTCTTTCCCCCTTGAGATATAACAAAAGTCAAGTTCTATCTACATCCCGCCCTTGGGCAATGAGTCTGACAAACCATCTGCTCCAAGCCAGTAATTGAAAAGGAGGGAAATTCTAGGAGGTAAAAATAGTATGGGTCACTAGCTCAAAATATTCTCCTGCTACATGTGAATGAACCCATGTGTGACAGATTCCTCCAGTGAGTCCTTCAGAGGCAACTCCTCCTGTGTGTGACTCCCCCCCCGCAGCTGATACATTTTCCAGGCTGGCCTCCCCTGCTATGCCATTCAGATGCCAACGTTGAATGAAGTTTCCCTCTCTGGTTTGTTTTGCTCAGAAGGGTGAGGGTGGGCAGTTCGCGGGGCAGGGATGGATGAGAAACTGTCTCTGCTCTGAGAGCTTTCACTCACTCTGTAGAACTGATGCCAGAGATGGAATGGGAGCTGGTGAAGGTAGCTTCTAAAACAGCTCTAAAAAATGGGGTGGGACGATGGCCCCACCTGTGCTGGGTTGGCATGGGGTATGCTTCAGGGCTGCCCACTATTCAGGGAGCATCATTCTTGGGCAAGTCTTTTAATACCTCTGCACTTTAGTTTCTGTATCTTGTCCAGGGGCACAACACTATCTGCTCCTCCTAGAGCTTCCCAGCGTATTGAATGAGATGCTAGGTGTGAAGCAGATGCTAGGTGTGAAGCAGGTGCTAGGTGCGAAGCAGATGCTAGGTGTGAGGTAGATGCTAGGTGGGTGTGAAGCAGAGATACTAAGGGCCATGGAATGGGAGAGCCATTTTGGTGCTATCTCAGGACATCTAGTCAATGTCACGAACATTTTTTGAGGGCCTGATTTTTTTTTAAAAAAAGATTTATTTAGTTATGCATACCAGAACTGGGGTGTAGGCCAGAGGTGCAGAGACAGAGTGGGGAGCAGAACAGGCAGATTGACTGAAGCACACTGCTGAGGGAGCAGCCTTTGAGATAGGAGTGGTCTGCTGTGCCATGTGGGTCAGCTCCCTGGGTCGGGGGGATTGAAGTCGTGGTGTAGTAGCTGTGGTCTATGGTCTATCCAGGAGAGGCCTGCTGAGCTTTAACCCCTTGTACCACCAGGGAGGCCCCAGAGGGCCTGATTGTTTCTTCTGGCAAAACGAATATCCTGGCATTCTGGAAGGAAGCTAGCTACAAGGTGGAGTGAAGGGCTGGGGCATGGGCCGCTATTGAGATTGGGTCACTATTGAGATTGTGGTATCTGGGGGACAATCTGAAGGCTTAAGCACCGGAGAGGTGGAATTGAGGGGGTTATTTGGGACACTGTGTAGGGACTGTGTTCCTATGTGTACTTTGTTAAGACTCCTTTGATTGCAAGAAACAAAAACCTACTGTAATCTGGTTAAACAAATGATGGAGTTCATGGAAAACAATCCCAGGGTGCCACAGGGAACCCAGGGGAGGAGGTGGAGCTATAGCACAGGAGCTGGTGAATAGGACTGGAAATCCTCCTCATTAAACCCAGCCGGCTTCCTTGCAGAAATGGATCAGTGGATTAAATTTTGCATGTAAATACCAGGATAATCTTTTTTTTTATTGGCATTTTTTTTATTTTACAAAAGTTTATTTTTACATCATTTTGTACATTTTTTTTTCCATCTCAATTGTAATCCCCGCGGGTTTCCCATCATCAAGTCACCCGTGTGCCATCACCATAATCCCGTGCATTTCCCTCCCTACCCCCCCGTTTTTGATCCCATTCCCCAGTCCACCCCCGCAAAATGTCTCTGGTATATGGTTGTTCATTATTTTTGTTATTTTCTCGCCTGGTCTGTTATACTCCTGCTATGAGCAAAACCAACCGAATACCAGGATAATCTTAAAAAAGAAGAGCAGGCCCTCCCTGGTGGTGCAGCAGGTTAAAGCACAGCACTAAGAAGCTAAAACCACTTCCTCATCAGTTTGATTCCCGCCTGCCCTGGAGGTGACCACATGGTATGGCAGACCTCTCCTGACCGCCTGCTGCTCCCCTCAGCAGTGTACTTCGTCAATCTGTCTGTTCTGCTCCCCACTCTGTGTCTGGTGAAGCCTCTCGCTGCCCCTGAGCCTCTGGCCTGTACCCCAGTTCTGTATGCACAAATAAATCTTAAAAAAAAAAAAAAGAAGAGCAACACTAGATGATTGCAAAACTCCAGCAGTCAGGCAGGGTGCCTGAGCACCGGCAAGGATGCCAGTGGAAGAGACCCCGCGGACAAGGAAACCCTCAGGCGGCCACGCACTGGTTTTCAGCCAGTCTGTCGTGACAGTTCAGGGGAAACAGCCTCGCAGCTAATGGCCTGGGACACTGAGGTCCACGGTACAGAAGACGAACTCCTCTCTCGCTTCATCTGCAAAAATGAACTGAAAATGGATCAAAGACCTTGATGTAAGTGTTAAGACGATAAAACTCTTAGGAGAAAACGTTGGGGTAAATTGCAGTGACTTTGAAGAAGACACTTTGATAGGATACCAAAACCAAAACCAAAAGCAGGAACAGCCACACATGTATGAGTTGAATTTTATCAAAATCAAAAACTTCTTTATCATCATTTTGATTTTATTTTCCTCGAATTTTATTAATTTGCCAATCATTCACAAAATTATGTAATTTGGGGAGTATAGACTCATGCCTATCTCTGTGCATATGCTCCCCCCCCCCCAATCTGGTAGCTAGACTAGTTTTCAGAGTCTATGAATTATTTTTGTTGTTTTGCCAGTTTGTTTTCTTTGGATGTTTATATTCTGCAGATGAGTGAAACTGTCCAGTAAATTGTCTTTCACTGTCTGGCTATTTCCCTTAGCATCATCAACACAGGGTCCATCTATTTTGTCCCAAAAGACAGCATTTCACCTTTCAAAATTAAAAACTTTGATGCTCCAAAGGAGCATATTGAGAAAGTGAAAAGAATACTCAGAGAATAGGGAAAAGTATTTGCAAGTCACATATCTGGTGGAGGACTCATTTCTGAAATATATAAAGAACGTTTACAACTCCATAATACAAAGACAACAATTAAAATTGGACAAAGGAGCCCTCCCTGGTGGCACAGCGGGTTAAAGCACAGCACTAAGAAGCTAACGTCACTTCAGCATGAGTTCGATCCCTGCCCCGGAGGTGATCCACATGGCACAGCAGACCTCGCCTGACCCGCCCGCTGCTCCCTCAGCAGTGTACTTCATCCATCTGCCTGTTCTGTTCCCCACTGTCTCTGGTGAATCTTCTCACTCCCTGTATCTCTGGCCTGTACCCCAGTTCTGTATACATAAATAAATATCTTTTAAAAAAAAATGGGGACAAAGGGTCTGGATGGACATTTCTCCAAAGAAGTCACACAAATGAACAATAAGCACATTACAAGAGGTTCAACATTATTATCCTTCAGGAAAATGCGCATCAGAACCGTAATAGGAGATCCTACTTCTCACTCACTAGGCTGACTATAATAAAAAAGGCAATGGTGAGGATGTGGAGAAACTAGAACCCTCGTACACTGCTGCTGTAAAATGATGCAGATGCTTTGGAAAGTAATCTGGCAGTTTCTCAAAAGGTTAAACATTTGAACAGCGATTCCATTCTTAAGTATATATCTAAGAGAAGTGAAAACACACATTTTTTATAAAAGATTTATTTATTTATGCATACAAGAACTGGGGTACAGGTCAGAGGTATGGGGGTGGGGTGAGAGGGCTTGCCAGCGACAGAGTAAGGAACAGAACAGGTAGATCAACTGAAACACACTGCTGAGGGGAGCAGTGGGCAAGGCAGCAGATGTTTGCTGCGCCATGTGGGTCATTTCCCTGGCCAGGGGTTGAACTCATGCAGCAGTGGCTGCTATAGCTTCACAATGCTGTGCTTTAACCCCTAACAGCCCCAAGAAGGGCCTGAAAAACACATGTTCTTATAGAAACTTATACCTGAATGTTCAGGGCAGCTTTATTCACAATTGCCCAAAGTAGAAACAACCCAGTTGTCCATCAGCAGATGAATGTGTAAGAGGTGGCATATCCTTACAATGGTATTATTTGGCCTTAAAAAGGAATTAAGTCCTGATGCATTCTACAGCATAGGTGGGCCTTGAAAACATACTAAATGAAAGTCATTCCCAGAAAACCACATCTTGTGTGATCCCATTTTTATGAAAAGTCTAGAATAAGAAATCCACAAAATAGATTTGTCGTTTCCTAGCACTGGGGAAGTTGTTGGGGGAATAAGGAGAGTGAATACTGAGGATACAGCGGGTGCCGGCTTCTCGTTGGGGGCTATGAAAATGTCCTGGAACTTTTAGTAGTAATGGTTGCATAGCCATGTGAATATACTA